ATTACCTAAAAGTAATCATTGCAAATCATCGCCCCATTTAGTAAAATTCTGCTAAAAAATCGTTTTTTAAAAAATATACAATTTCATCGTTCAATACTCACCAGGTCGTCCGCTTCAGAAACTTCTGTTGTCTTAGAGTACTAGTGATCACCCTCACCTGCCTGTAGATCGTTTCTCTGGATCACCAAGTTGTTCTGAAATCAGTAATTTAGTCTGAAAGTTTTCAAACAGTTTACAAATTTCGGTTTCAGTCGTCGTTCATCTTTAGTTTTCACCCAAGACTTTTATTGTCCTAGGGTGCCTACAGTATCCCCCGTCTAGTAGCGTAAAACCTAGGTAGTATTTCGGTCAATTTTCATCCTAAATTTCGGTCTAAGTCCGAAAAATCATAACTCCCGTCTAAAACTTTGCTCCCTCACCTAGAATTTCTCCGACATCCCATCACCACAACGCTCCGTCGGTTTACACCACTCTCGTTTAATTCTGATGTTTCTTTTTAAACAATATCAAACCCAGGTTACCTAAGAGGTAACATTTCATATTAAATATTCTTAAATTAAAACATCGTTTCTTCTAAATTGTGCCTAAGTAGTCGCAATCTTATTCTTGTTGTTGATTCCATCCGGTCGTTTCGTATCTCATTACCTAAAAGTAATCATTGCAAATCATCGCCCCATTTAGTAAAATTCTGCTAAAAATCGTTAAAAATTACTAAAAAATATACAATTTCATCGTTCAATACTCACCAGGTCGTCCGCTTCAGAAACTTCTGTTGTCTTAGAGTACTAGTGATCACCCTCACCTGCCTGTAGATCGTTTCTCTGGATCACCAAGTTGTTCTGAAATCAGTAATTTAGTCTGAAAGTTTTCAAACAGTTTACAAATTTCGGTTTCAGTCGTCGTTCATCTTTAGTTTTCACCCAAGACTTTTATTGTCCTAGGGTGCCTACAGTATCCCCCGTCTAGTAGCGTAAAACCTAGGTAGTATTTCGGTCAATTTTCATCCTAAATTTCGGTCTAAGTCCGAAAAATCATAACTCCCGTCTAAAACTTTGCTCCCTCACCTAGAATTTCTCCGACATCCCATCACCACAACGCTCCGTCGGTTTACACCACTCTCGTTTAATTCTGATGTTTCTTTTTAAACAATATCAAACCCAGGTTACCTAAGAGGTAACATTTCATATTAAATATTCTTAAATTAATACATCGTTTCTTCCAAATTGTGCCTAAGTAGTCGCAATCTTATTCTTGTTGTTGATTTCATCCGGTCGTTTCGTATCCCATTACCTAAGAGTAATCATCGCCCCATTTAGTAAAATTCTGCTAAAATTTTTTAAAAATTACAAAATTTCATCGTTCAATACTCACCAGGTCGTCCGCTTCAGAAACTTCTGTTGTCTTAGAGTACTAGTGATCACCCTCACCTGCCTGTAGATCGTTTCTCTGGATCACCAAGTTGTTCTGAAATCAGTAATTTAGTCTGAAAGTTTTCAAACAGTTTACAAATTTCGGTTTCAGTCGTCGTTCATCTTTAGTTTTCACCCAAGACTTTTATTGTCCTAGGGTGCCTACAGTATCCCCCGTCTAGTAGCGTAAAACCTAGGTAGTATTTCGGTCAATTTTCATCCTAAATTTCGGTCTAAGTCCGAAAAATCATAACTCCCGTCTAAAACTTTGCTCCCTCACCTAGAATTTCTCCGACATCCCATCACCACAACGCTCCGTCGGTTTACACCACTCTCGTTTAATTCTGATGTTTCTTTTTAAACAATATCAAACCCAGGTTACCTAAGAGGTAACATTTCATATTAAATATTCTTAAATTAATACATCGTTTCTTCCAAATTGTGCCTAAGTAGTCGCAATCTTATTCTTGTTGTTGATTCCATCCGGTCGTTTCGTATCCTCATTACCTAAAAGTAATCATTGCAAATCATCGCCCCATTTAGTAAAATTCTGCTAAAAATCGTTAAAAATTACTAAAAAAATACAATTTCATCGTTCAATACTCACCAGGTCGTCCGCTTCAGAAACTTCTGTTGTCTTAGAGTACTAGTGATCACCCTCACCTGCCTGTAGATCGTTTCTCTGGATCACCAAGTTGTTCTGAAATCAGTAATTTAGTCTGAAAGTTTTCAAACAGTTTACAAATTTCGGTTTCAGTCGTCGTTCATCTTTAGTTTTCACCCAAGACTTTTATTGTCCTAGGGTGCCTACAGTATCCCCCGTCTAGTAGCGTAAAACCTAGGTAGTATTTCGGTCAATTTTCATCCTAAATTTCGGTCTAAGTCCGAAAAATCATAACTCCCGTCTAAAACTTTGCTCCCTCACCTAGAATTTCTCCGACATCCCATCACCACAACGCTCCGTCGGTTTACACCACTCTCGTTTAATTCTGATGTTTTTTTTTAAACAATATCAAACCCAGGTTACCTAAGAGGTAACATTTCATATTAAATATTCTTAAATTAAAACATCGTTTCTTCTAAATTGTGCCTAAGTAGTCGCAATCTTATTCTTGTTGTTGATTCCATCCGGTCGTTTCGTATCTCATTACCTAAAAGTAATCATTGCAAATCATCGCCCCATTTAGTAAAATTCTGCTAAAAATCGTTAAAAATTACTAAAAAATATACAATTTCATCGTTCAATACTCACCAGGTCGTCCGCTTCAGAAACTTCTGTTGTCTTAGAGTACTAGTGATCACCCTCACCTGCCTGTAGATCGTTTCTCTGGATCACCAAGTTGTTCTGAAATCAGTAATTTAGTCTGAAAGTTTTCAAACAGTTTACAAATTTCGGTTTCAGTCGTCGTTCATCTTTAGTTTTCACCCAAGACTTTTATTGTCCTAGGGTGCCTACAGTATCCCCCGTCTAGTAGCGTAAAACTTAGGTAGTATTTCGGTCAATTTTCATCCTAAATTTCGGTCTAAGTCCGAAAATCATAACTCCCGTCTAAAACTTTGCTCCCTCACCTAGAATTTCTCCGACATCCCATCACCACAACGCTCCGTCGGTTTACACCACTCTCGTTTAATTCTGATGTTTCTTTTTAAACAATATCAAACCCAGGTTACCTAAGAGGTAACATTTCATATTAAATATTAAATTAATACATCGTTTCTTCCAAATTGTGCCTAAGTAGTCGCAATCTTATTCTTGTTGTTGATTTCATCCGGTCGTTTCGTATCCCATTACCTAAGAGTAATCATCGCCCCATTTAGTAAAATTCTGCTAAAACTTTTTAAAAATTACAAAATTTCATCGTTCAATACTCACCAGGTCGTCCGCTTCAGAAACTTCTGTTGTCTTAGAGTACTAGTGATCACCCTCACCTGCCTGTAGATCGTTTCTCTGGATCACCAAGTTGTTCTGAAATCAGTAATTTAGTCTGAAAGTTTTCAAACAGTTTACAAATTTCGGTTTCAGTCGTCGTTCATCTTTAGTTTTCACCCAAGACTTTTATTGTCCTAGGGTGCCTACAGTATCCCCCGTCTAGTAGCGTAAAACCTAGGTAGGATTTCGGTCAATTTTCATCCTAAATTTCGGTCTAAGTCCGAAAAATCATAACTCCCGTCTAAAACTTTGCTCCCTCACCTAGAATTTCTCCGACATCCCATCACCACAACGCTCCGTCGGTTTACACCACTCTCGTTTAATTCTGATGTTTCTTTTTAAACAATATCAAACCCAGGTTACCTAAGAGGTAACATTTCATATTAAATATTCTTAAATTAATACATCGTTTCTTCCAAATTGTGCCTAAGTAGTCGCAATCTTATTCTTGTTGTTGATTTCATCCGGTCGTTTCGTACCTCATTACCTAAAAGTAATCATTGCAAATCATCGCCCCATTTAGTAAAATTCTGCTAAAAATCGTTAAAAATTACTAAAAATATACAATTTCATCGTTCAATACTCACCAGGTCGTCCGCTTCAGAAACTTCTGTTGTCTTAGAGTACTAGTGATCACCCTCACCTGCCTGTAGATCGTTTCTCTGGATCACCAAGTTGTTCTGAAATCAGTAATTTAGTCTGAAAGTTTTCAAACAGTTTACAAATTTCGGTTTCAGTCGTCGTTCATCTTTAGTTTTCACCCAAGACTTTTATTGTCCTAGGGTGCCTACAGTATCCCCCGTCTAGTAGCGTAAAACCTAGGTAGTATTTCGGTCAATTTTCATCCTAAATTTCGGTCTAAGTCCGAAAAATCATAACTCCCGTCTAAAACTTTGCTCCCTCACCTAGAATTTCTCCCACATCCCATCACCACAACGCTCCGTCGGTTTACACCACTCTCGTTTAATTCTGATGTTTCTTTTTAAACAATATCAACCCCAGGTTACCTAAGAGGTAACATTTCATATTGAATATTCTTAAATTAATACATCGTTTCTTCCAAATTGTGCCTAAGTAGTCGCAATCTTATTCTTGTTGTTGATTTCATCCGGTCGTTTCGTATCCCATTACCTAAGAGTAATCATCGCCCCATTTAGTAAAATTCTGCTAAAACTTTTTAAAAATTACAAAATTTCATCGTTCAATACTCACCAGGTCGTCTGCTTCAGAAACTTCTGTTGTCTTAGAGTGCTAGTGATCACCTTCACCTGCCTGTAGGTCGTTTCTCTGGATCACCAAATTGTTCTGAAATCAGTAATTTAGACTGAAAATTTTCAAAAAAATTACAAATTTCGGTTTCAGCCGTCGTTCTTTCATACTATCTTCAGTTTTCACACAAGACTTTTATTGTCCTAGGATGCCTTTTTTTTTTTTTACAAGGGGAAATCCATCATGGAGACCCGCACGCCTCGGGGGAAGCGTGGGGGTACTGCCGGACTCCTACCGGCTAAAACCCCTTGGTGTCCTCCGCTCGCCACTAGCGCCGGGGTTACGGGATCGACGTAGCAGTCCACCGCGACCCCGGCAGCGCAGGCTCTGCAGCCTCCTCCTCGAGTGGCGCGCGCGGACACCACGCGCGCCTACTCCCAGCCTCACCCTCCTTAGGTGACGGCAGACGCCCCCGCATCTGCCGCCGAGAGACTCTGGGTCGGTGGCGACGGGCCGGGCTCGGCCTCCATCGCCTCCGACTCCTCCGCCCGCGCCGTTGCGCGGCTTCCTCGCGAGCAGTCTTTACCGCTGCCCACTGAGTGATTCGACGGACGTCCCGCCGATGCGCAATAGACGCAATGCGGCGGGCTTGTGCAACCAGCAGCCTTGTGGCCTTCTCCACCGCAGCGGAAGCAGGCCTGACTGCGGTCCACCGCCGACTTACACTGTGCACCCACGTGCCCCTGCAGTAGGCAGCGGTAACAACGTGCGGGCTTCGGATCTAGTACGGTAACATGCGCCGAAACCCATCCCACCTTAATGCGGGCCTCCGTCTCGAGCTTTTTGGCGGCCACCACTGGGCAACGAACCCATGCAGCCGCAGTGCCCGACGCCGATCGGCGGATTTCCCCCACCTTGATGTCCTGCTCCGCGCAGCCACCACTTCGAGCCACAGCGACGACGACATCCGCCGGTGTGGTCGTGTCGTCAAGGCCCACTATCCTCATGTCCGCCGTCTTCACCGGACGAGAGACCTGTACGACCTCCGCGGGCAGGACCTCCCTGAGCTTTTCGGCAAGGGAGTCCGCCTTGTCACCACTAGCGGCGCCTGGCAGCTCCAGGATTCGCGCACCAGTGATGGCCTGCCTGTAACGAAGCTCCGTTACGCCGATATCCTCGAGGCACACCTTGTCTTTCGCTTCCCTGAGTAGGGCCGCGTATGTCACCCCTTTCTCGGCTGCCCCGGGCTGCAGCGATAAAACTATCGCCGCAGATCGGGGAGGCCTGAGTCTCGGCTTCTTCCTCTTTTTACCCGCGGACGCTGCCTTTTGAGGCTGCGTTTCAGTCGCCGCGGGTTTGTTCGCCGCCTTCTTGCCCGTGTTCTTCGCACCGCGACGAACTACGGTCACCCAACTCTCCGTCGCTGCGCGGGGAGCTGGCGCCGGCCCCTGTACTCCAATAGGAGCAGCCTGACTAGTAGCTGCCGGTGCAATAGCAGCCGGTGCAGGAGCCGACGCCTTCCCTCTTCCTTTTCCTTTGGGCCCAGCCGAGCCGCTCGCACGCACAGCAGGCGGGGTCGTTGTGGGCCTCACCACTGGCGCCGGAGGGAGTCGCTCCTCTATTCTCGCCAGGCGAGCGTCGAGTCGGTTCTCCAACCTCCGGGCTACGCGGTCCTCCAGTTCTTGTAGGGCCTGGGGCCCGACCGCCTCTAACTGAGCAGGGCTTCCGGCGGCGGACGTCGATGGCCCGACAGTCGCCTGCGCCTGTGCCTCCCGCAATGCAGTCCGGAGCTCGAGGATCTCCTGGCTGATCTTCTGGTTTTCGGCCTTCTGGCCGACAACCTGCCCCTCAAGACTCGCGACTTTCGCGGCCAGGACGGAATTCTCCTTGGCGACCGACCTGTTCTTGAGGATGTCGGCCGCATCCCTGATGGCATCCACAGCATCCCTGATGTCCCGGATGGTGGTGCCCTTGAGGTTCCCGCACTTTTTAATGGTGACATTCACTATGTCAGCACAGGCCTCTATTTTACTGCGGAGCGCATCCGCCGTCCACTGGAGCTTCATGGGATCTCCACCCCAAGTGGCACGGATGACCCCGATCCTCTCATCGAAATTTTTCTGGCCCGCCTTAACCGCGGCCTTCATGGCTTCGATACGGTCCTCTGTCACCCTGGCTCGAGCACCTTCTCTTTCACCCTCGGAGTCAGAGCGTGAGCGCTTGCGTTGGCGCTTTCGCCGATTGCGCTTCTTCTCCGCGTCACTATAGCCGTCTTCGCTTCCTGTAAAGAGGGAAGTCGAAGACCCTGTCACGTCCGATAAGTCCTCTTCCATGAGGATATCGTACCTACCGGTACTGAGCACACTCTCCAGTTCTCCTCTTTCCAGCATCACCCTGAGCTCTTTCTCCGCTGCAAACTCCTTCCTGGTCTCACTCCTCTCACCCATCTTTCCCCCCTTCTGGCCTTTCTTGTCCCCCCCAGAATACGTGGGACTGACCGCCCCCGGCTTACCCGGTGCGACGGCAGAGGATTCTCCACCCGATGAACGGGTGGTACCTCCCTGGGGTATTACTTTTTTGAGATCAGCCATCATCTTGTGTTTCCTTTTTTACCGGGTCAGGTCCCGTACAAAAACTGAAGAGGAAAAGAAGAAACAAAACAAAACGATAGTAAAGAACAAAGGACAGAAAAGAATAGACAATAAAGAACTAAAAGAAACAAAACAAATAAAACCAAGAAAAATAAAAGAAGACAAAACAAGAAGAATTTACAAATAAATAACTAACCTAACTATTTACACTATTTACAGATTTGGACGAGCGCCGAATACGACACCCGCCCCCTAACCTACTCGCCGGACTATCGGCCGACATAGTAGCAGTATCCCGAAGGAACGTCTACTATCCCGCCCAGGGCGTACCCGAACCAAACCATTGCTCGGCCACCGTTCCCCGCGGACGTATCCACGAGGATGGGGAAGCCTCCCAATGGATGGCCCATACTTGGAGGTTGCCCGACACACGCCCCGTCCTAGGGTGCCTACAGTATCCCCCGTCTATTAGCGTAAAACCTAGGTCCGATTTCGGTCAATTTTCATTCTAAATTTCAATTCAATCTAATTTCAACCAATATTTTTTTCAGTATGACTATACTGAAAAAAATATTGTGCGAGATATGGTTAAGGAACTACAAGATAATGACATAGTAGAGGAATCAGATTCGGCATACGAGAGCCCGGTACTTTTAGTTTCAAAGAAAACAGGAGGCTATAGACTCTGTATTGATTATAGGGCGTTGAATAGAAAAACAATTAAAGACCTTTATCCATTACCCCGTATTGATGACCAGCTTGACCTTCTCAGTGGAAACGTTTATTTCATTTCACTGGATATGTCTAGTGGATACTATCAAATTCCTGTTAAAGATAGCTGTAAACACTTAACAGCCTTTATTACTCCTGATGGGTTATACCAATTTAAACGAGCTACATTCGGGTTAGCTAATTGTCCAGCAGTTTTTCAACGTACCGTCAATAAAATGCTAAATAAAGGTAATAAAAAGTGCGCAATAGCTTACATGGATGACATATTAATTGCGGGAACTAGTTTTGATGACTGTGTAGAAAAATTAGAACAGACCTTTTTACTTTTAAATATGCAGGATTGACCTTAAACTTAAACAAATGTCGTTTTTTTGACACCACAATAAATTATTTAGGGTTTGGAATATCGGCTGAGGGAGTGAAACCTGGTAATGGAAAAATAGAGGCCGTGAAATCATTTCCTGAACCCAAAAATGTTCACGAGGTTCGACAATTTATTGGTCTCGCCAGTTATTTTAGAAAGTTTATTCAGGATTTTGCGGTTATAGCACGACAGTTAACTGATCTCACCCGTCAAAATATTCCATGGGTGTGGGGAAATCATCAAAAAGACGCATTTACAAATTTGAAAGATAAATTAGTACAACGTCCAATATTAGCTTTATATAACCCTAATTACATAACGGAGTTGCATTGCGATGCATCAAAAATTGGTTTGGGTGGTATTTTATTACAAAAAGAATTTATTTCTTCTAAATTACAACCAGTAGCATTCTTTAGTCGTAAAACAACAATAGATGAAGAGAAATTACATGCGTATGAGTTAGAAACACTAGCAGTCGTTTCATCTTTAAACCGATTTAGAGTTTACCTGTTAGGAAAACATTTTACAATTGCAACTGATTGTAGTGCATTGCGATTTTACAAAAAGAGATTTGATACCCAGGGTAGCACGGTGGTGGATAGCATTACAAGAGTATGATTGCTCGATTGAATATAGACCTGGTAATTCTATGCAGCATGTAGATGCCCTCAGTAGAAATCCCATTTCTTGTAATGACGATAGTGACAAATTAGCACACTTTTCTCGAGTAATGCATATTACAGAGGATGACTGGCTTCTTAGTTTACAATTGACAGATGAAATTCAGTATATTAAAGATGCTTTAGAGAACCCCAAATATAATGAGATAGCAGATATAAAAGAGAATTTTATTGTAAAAAACAATAGACTGTACAGGAAAGTTGGGGAAAACTTAAAGTGGGTTGTACCGAAAGGTGCAAGGTGGCAGATATGTCAACGAAACCACAACGATATTGGGCATTTTTCGGTAGAAAAGACACTAGATAAGATTAAAAGAGATTTTTGGTTTCCAAAAATGAATAAGTTTGTCAGTAAGTACGTAAAGTCCTGTTTACATTGTGCATTCGGTAAGGACCCAGCTGGATCTAAAGGTTTTCTCCATAGTACTCCTAAAACTGATATTCCGTTTCACTCTCCATGCGGATCACCTAGGTCCTTTTGTAAAAAGCACGCAAGGGAATCAGTATTTGTTAGTAGTCGAATGGGCCAGACGGCATACCGGCATTGGTGTTAAAGAAGTGTGCTCCGGAGTTGTGTCCCGTACTCACGCGCCTTTTCGCGCTTTCGTACTCCTCTGGGCAATTTCCGTCTTCATGGAAGACCACCCTTGTGCACCCTGTGCCAAAAAAGGGCGACAGATCAAACCCATCGAACTACAGGCCTATCGCTATCGCATCTCTACTCTCCAAGGTGATGGAGCGTGTAATTAATACACAGCTCCTGGGATACCTAGAGGATCACGATCTATTGAGCGATCGTCAATATGGCTTTCGCCATAATCGCTCAACTGGTGATCTTTTAGTGTATCCCACACACCGTTGGGCTCTTGCCATCGAGAGTAAAGGTGAGGCATTGGCAGTCAGCCTTGACATGGCGAAGGCATTCGATCGGGTTTGGCATCAAGGTCTTCTATCGAAATTGCCCTCGTACGGTATACCAGAGGGATTATGCAAATGGGTCGCTAGTTTTTTTTCTGGCAGATGCATCAAAACCGTAGTCGACGGTAGTTGCTCCGATAGCATGGACATTAACGCTGGCGTCCCGCAAGGCTCCGTTCTCTCCCCGACACTGTTTTTGCTGCATATCAATGATTTGTTAACTACAGTTAACATTCATTGTTATGCGGATGACAGTACTGGGGACGCATTTTACACGGGCCGTGCTAATATCCCTCTTTCCGTTGTGGAGGCAAACCGCGAACAGCTTGTGTCTGAAATCGAGAGTACTCTTACCAGAGTCTCCGATTGGGGGCGACTGAACTTAGTTCAATTCAATCCTACCAAGAATAGAATAGAATAGAACTTAATTTATTCAAATAAACTTACATTGAAGCACTTTTGAATAGTCATTACATTTTTTAATCTACCGCTCGTTCGGAAAGCTGTCTCATCACAAGAAGAACGAGCAAGAAACTTGCGTGTTGCTCTTTTAAATAATTTTATTATTACTTTACATTTTTAAGTTTAAGTGTGTGAATACAAACCACCAATTAGCACTAATTCAATTAAATACTCAAATAGAAAAAATATTGAATATATAACTGTGATATATTAGGAAATATGTAGGTAGATTAATTATTAAATTAAGTGTAGGGTAAACTGTTTCATGTGTCTTTAGATGTGTCATATTCTTTTGTCTGCGATTAAACACCGTTAAGCTAACACATATTTTATTCCTCTCCGCTTACTAGAATATTCCAGTATTTCTCAGTGGCGACGAGTCTATTCATTACGAACGAAATACGCGTAATATAGTAAAATGTCAGTTGGAAAGATATCGGAGTTTCGACTGCATACAGACAACTGGAGGTTATACGTCGAGCGGCTAGAGCAGTATTTTATAGTGAATAGTATTCCTACAGAATTACATGTGCCGACATTGATAACCGTTATGGGTGCGGAGTGTTATGAGTTATTGGTGAATTTGTGTATACCAAATAAACCTACAACGAAAATATTTATGGAGGTAGTGACTATATTGGAGAGGCATCTTCAGCCGAAACCGAGTATTCTTGCCGAAAGATATAAATTTCGTCAAAGGAAACAGACAAGCGGTGAAAGTATAGCTCAGTATGTGGCAGTGTTAAAAAAAATGGCGAGTACATGTGAATTTGGAATGTGGTTGGAAGAAAGTTTGCGGGATCAGTTCGTTTGTGGTATCACAAATGACACAACTCGACAGCGGATTTTCGCAGAAGATGCACTGGATTTTTGTAAAGCGTATAAGCTGGCCGCGAGCATGGAAGCAGCTGAAAAAGATGCAGCAATAGTGGAAGGTCGACCGTCACTCCAAAAGATCAGCGAAGGAGCCGTGGAATGTCAGGCAATCAATAGTACCGGGTGGCGGGAAAATATAAGGAAACCGAAGGCAAAACCTTGGATGAACACTGTACCAGCGATAGGACGCTCATTCCAACGTGCGGATGGCGAAGTTACGAGAGGAGGCGCTGGGCGTAGTATGCAGCGACACCAGCAGTGCAAAGTATGTGGCGGAGCGCACGAGTCGACAGGGTGTCGATTTACCCGATATGTATGTAGGGTGTGTAACAAGCAGGGACATTTACGGCGTGTTTGTCCTAATGTGAAGGAACAATACAACGTCGACGTGTCGGAGCGACCTACGGAGACGGTACATAGCGATGACAGCGACGAGGTAATTATAAACATAAATCGTTTATCAGCAATAGCATGTAAACCAATATTAATTTTGTTAAATATAGAAGGACGTGATATTGAAATGGAATGTGATACCGGTAGTGCAGTGTCATGCATCAGTTATGAGTTTTATAAACAAAAATTTAGTCATTTAAGTATTAAAAACTGTAAACTAATGTTAAAATATTATACTGGGGAACTTGTACGACCTATAGGTGTAATTAAAACTTTAGTAATATATAAGGATAGGCAAAAATATTTAGATTTGTATGTAATTAAAGACGGTAAAACCGTGTTGTTAGGCAGGCAGTGGTTGGCGGAACTGAATGTACAGTTACCACAGTTTGAATATTGTTCAGTTAGTAATATTGATAGTTGTGATTTTGACATAACGGAATTTAGTTCCAGATACTGTGACGTATTCGCGGACGGCCTGGGTCGGTTCACTGGTGGCCGCGTGCGGTTGTACGTGCGGGACGGCGCGCGACCGGTATTCATGCGAGCGCGACCGCTGGCTTACGCGCTGCGTGAAC